CCCTGAAGCTGCTGGTGGACATCGCGGTTGGAATTATCAAAGGTTTTTGACACCTGAGAGACACCGTAGCAACTCCTTTGTGTTTGGAAGCAGGGGGGTGGGGGTGGGGGGAGGACCAGGGAGGACGATTCAACCACTCAACCACTAGATGTCACTGAAAACGAATCCTACACAGTGTGCCTTTAASAATATTTTGAATGTGTTATAATTTGAATGTCTAATAATCACAGGAATGAGATTCCATTCTGTGGCAGCTCGAACAGAAAAGTTATTTTTGCCAAAAGCACTTTTCCTAAGAGGAATAACACAGCCTCCCTGAACTGCACCTCTGGTTCTGACATGATTAGATGTTCGGATTTTAACAAACTGTTGAACTGGGGGGGATGATAGGTTAGGGTTAGTTTGTTTTGTTTGTAGCCTTTGATTTGAAATCCTTTGACGGTTTTATTGACAATAACTCGTGTTTTGATTTTAAATGTGCTAAATTATTTTTGAAGGCACAAATACTCACTTTTCCATTAAGTCCGTTTGCTTCCTGTTTGGATGTGAGAACCAGGTACGTTTCGATGCCTTTCTCCAGCAGGTACTCACACCTCTCGCCGCCGTTACCCGGCTCCAGCTCGAATTCTCCGTGCAGGCTGTCCTTGGTTGTCTGAGAAACATGCACCCTCCTGTGTGTCACATAAAACCCCGTTTGAAAACCCAAAAGTGGAAGAAGACTTTACTGAGCAGTGGCTTTATGTTACCCACCCTGGGATTCCTCCAGACTCCATCTTATTGGCCACAGTGACGTCTGTGGACCAGACATCAAACTGCCAGCGCTTCTGTCCGAGCACTCCTCCGAGCACAGTGCCGGTGTGAACGCCGACTCGCATGTCCACGTCCGTTTTTGTCTTTTCCCGCACATACCTGGACAAATAAAAGAAGCATTTAAACATGTTCTTATCCTTGTTCTTCATGGTCTGTTCCTGGTCAAATGTCTTTACTGTTTAATTGTGAACTCCTTTTCCTCCTTGGAGAAAATTAGTAAAAAAAAAAGGCGATCGTTTTGAAACTGTCAGCATCACTTCTTTGTATAATTTACAGGGCTCTCAAGTTTTGAACTGAGTTGGAGTGAGATTGACAGGAGAGACTCTCGGCTCTGATTGCACCCCTCATGTGTACAGGGTGGTTCATCCAAATGGGCCAGTTCAGGCAGCAAGGAAAACATTGGGGTGCACATTGGTTTCTCCTCAAACAGGGTGTGTGTGAGACGTGAGAGCCCTGATAATTTACCTCTATTTTTGACTTTGACATTTTTAATGGATAGTAAATTTGCTCCTTACGAGATGGCTTCTACCATGGCAAGGCCCATTCTTATAGAGCACGCAGCGTGGTCCTCCCTGAAATCAGGCAGACCACAGATGCAGTAGTAGCAGTCTCCAAGAATCTTAATCCTCAGCTGGTGATGTTGCTGTAAAACAAAATGGAAATGGTCACACTAATATTATTTTATTATTTTTATAAATATTTTTAAAAATAAAACAACAGGATGAGGTACTGTGCAAGCTAGAATGGAAAAATGAAATCAGTTCAGTGAATCAATAAATTTGATCTTTTATTTCGTGACTTTATTTCATATTTTAAACTGATAAAACTGAAACTGAATACAGTCTTACAACATGAAACAAATCCATCCATCCATCCATCATCCATCCATCCATCCATCCATCCATCCATCCATCCATCCGTCCTTACCAACCAATCCATCCATCCATCTGTCCTTACCAACCAATCCATCCATCCATCCATCCATCCATCCATCCATCCATCCATCCATCCATCCATCCATCCATCCATCCATCC